GTCAGGGATGACGGGCTGGAGGAGTCACGTGAAAACAAGAGGGAGAGTCAGGCTCCCAGACAAGCCACAGGCGCCCAGCTAGACAGATGTCTGGGGCTGTGTGTGGGGAAGGCCGGGGTTGTGCCATAGGTCAGGGAGCCACAGGCAGGCAGCGCTGAGCAGGACACAGGGAGACTAGCAGCGGCAGGTCTGGATGAGAGGGACATGGGCTTGGGGAGGAGGAGGACACAGGTGTTGGGAAGGGCATGTGGACCTGGGACCTGGCAGCCACGCTGGCCACACCCCGTGGGTGCCATGGCAGGAGAACCTCCTCCTTGGGTAGAGTGAACGTGGAAACCTTTAGTCCCTAGGCAAGGGAGTCGGGAGGGAGCGCAGGTGGGGTGAGAGCTGGGGAATCAGCAGTGAGCACGGATCTGTCCCCAGACTGAAGCCTTTCCAGGGGAGCAGGGGGGAGGAACCTAGAGCCACCAGGAGCCCGGGGGTGGGGGTTCGTCCTGATCTCCTGCTGCGGGTGGAGCCATGGGCAGCAGGCAGGACTCACCTTGTTGGCCTGGATCAGGTGGAAGTTCTTGCCATGCACGCGGAAGCCATGCTCGAAGTTGCGGCGCTCCTCCTCACTCCAGGCGCACAACCCGTCTGCAGGGGTGGGGGGCAGTCAGCAGCGGAGCAGGAGTTAGGGGGCCCCCAGGCAGACCAGCGCTCACCTCGGATCACCTTCACGTTGAACCGCAGCCTCCGCAGGGCCTCCTCCGCATTGAAATTGCACTTCACCAGCTCATACAGCGCCTGGGGGTTGGGGGGATGGCAGCCACTGAGACCTCTGCCTGCTCACCTCAGGGGGCAGGGGCTGGTCCACACTGCCACAGAGCCGGGGAGATGGATGGGGTGGGGGCGCCCACTCCACCATTTCCTGTCACTAGCGGTTTCCAAATGAATTCATCACAAGCATAAGACCACGTTGGCTCCCGCCCCTCTGGCCTGGCAGTCCCTCCACCCCACGGGCAGCCCACCTGCTCGCTGTCTTTCACGGCCTCTCCCTCCGGAAGCTGAGACCCGGCCATCTCGTGCCACCTCCGCTTCACCGCCCGGTATAGGAACTCCTCCACTTCCCTCTCGGGAAGGATGTTGGGGTCCCAAAGCAGCTGGTCTTCGTTCTCGTAGACTGTGCAGAAGGGGCAAGGTCACGTGTGGGCACGCAGGTCATCTTCTCTGACCACTTCCCAGGAAGCCCAGCAGCCGCAGGCCAACTCTGCCCCTCCAGAGGACAAGGGCCTGACTGGTGGCCTGGGCTGGACCTCCACCTCTGTGCTCCTCAGGGCCGGCTCTGGGCACCAAGGCGGGAGTGGGGAGAGGCCAGTGGGGACCGAGTGGCCAGAAATCAGGGCCAGTTTCCTGGAGGAGGTAGCAACTAACCTGAGGCTGGAAGGGGGACTTCTGACCCTAGCCTTTGAGAAGGCAGCTGCAGAGAGAGCTCAGGAAGGGGAAAGGCGGGATCAAGGGAGCAACACATGGAGCCCAGACTCAAGTACGGGTGAGACCTGGGTGAGAGCCTCGCTCAAGCCAGAGCCCCCCAGCCACCACAGCCCTCAAGTCAGCACCACACAGCAGCCAGACTCCCCCTCAGGCTGCAGTCTGCATCCAGCAGGCAGCCCCTAGGTGGGCAAAGCACATAGTGGAGACGAGGCAGAGGGATACCCCAGTGCCAGCACCTCTCAGTTATCCAGGGAAGAGTCACTGGAACCAAAAACTAAACAACACACACAAGCCCAACACCCAGTGGAGGGACTGAAGATGGAACCCACTCCAGGCTGGACTCTCTCCTGCAGGGGACCAGCAACTCCAGGGCTGATGCCGAGGGACTGAAGTTGGAACCCACTCCAGGCTGGACTCTCTCCTGCGGGGGACCAGCAACTCCAGGGCTGATGCCCAGGGACCTGCAGCCACTTCTCTCCACCTCCAAAGTCAACCTGAGTCCCAGGCTGGACCAGGAGGGTCAGCCAGAGGGGAGAGCGGGCCGCTCCAGAGAAAAAGTGACACCTGCCACCATGGCTATGTGCTGACCTACCACAGCAGGGTGAGAGGCACCATGCAACCACACGTAAGTCCACAGACAGTGAGGCATCAGAGCGGACACGCAGGATTTCAAAATAACCATGATCCACGAGGTAAGACAACAGCAGAAAAGAACAAAACAAATAGAAAGCTGCGAAATTTCAGCAGAGAACTGAAATCCATTCAGAAGAATCACACAAGCATCCAAGGACTGGAAAACACAGTGAGTTATGAACCACCAGGTAGCTTCAACAGCAGCAAATGACACGATCAGTGACATCACAAAGAATTTTGTTCAAATATATCAAACTGAAGCTTTAAGAGAACACAGTTTGAGAAGCGAGGGGGATGGACAAGCACCTGAGACGTGTGTGACTGAGTCACAGAGAACAAGGACAAGGCCCTGGGCCAGCTCTAGAGAGAGGAGGGCAGGAAGTCCACCGGCAACTCTGACCCACAGAGCCAGGAGCTCAGGGCATACCACAGTCTGAACCCCGAGAAACAGAGAAGAAGGCAGAAGGGAAGTAAATAATCTCAATGGAAACAGACACAAAAAGACAATGGACTGAAGTTGTTCAAGTGCTGAAAGGATAAAACCTGAAAACCGAGACTTCTGCACCCATGAAAACAGTCTTTAAAAATGAAAGTGAAATTAATACTTTTCAGAATTCATCCACAGCAGAACGGCACAAGGAGCACTGAAGAGAAAGTTCTCCATCTCGTGGCCATGGAGGCTGGAGGGATGGATTGCAGCCTAAGGGCACCATGGGCAGAGACGCTCGCAGCTGTGACCTGCTGGTGCGAGCAAGGCTGGGGAAGAGGTGGGACGAGTCACACTGTCTGAGGCCCCTGAAGTGAAGGGGAACGGGGGCGCGTGCATGCAGAGCAAACCAGGGTAACCACTGGGAAAGTGATGCAGACATTAAGACCAGAGTCCAAAGAGGACAAAACAACAGAATAAATTACCTGATGAATCAAAGACAGGACAAAATAAAGGAACAAAGAATACACGGAAGAGGCAGAAGACACAGCACGACGGCAGACGTGACCCCCTACTTGCAGGGGTTGCAGGACATAAGGACTGGACTCAACATGCAAACTGACAAAAATCAGATCCCAATGTACTCCGTTTACAAAACCACACTTTGTGAATAAGAAGGCAGAAAGGAATGTACTGTGCGAATACCAGACAGACAGACAGACATCACAGGAACATTCACAACACCGGCCACAGGGCCCAGCCCCCGACCTCAAAGGACGGAAAACAGCGCCCAGCCTTGGGCCTCAGAGAATTCCAACTCAACGTGAGCCACAGAAGGGGGACCAGAGAAGCCTCAGCGCCCATGCTAATAAACAACCAGAGTCAGAGAAGGTACCACAAAGGAAACTAGAGAACAGGACAATGCTGAAGAGAAGGAAGGAGGTAAAGATGGAAATAAAAGTCAACTACACAGAAATCAGATGACAGAGAGACATCAACAAAACAAAAATTAGCTGTCCCTTGTGAAGGGCAATAAAATTAATATAAACTCCAAAAAGTCTGATCAAGAGAGAATACAAAACAAAAACTGCAAACTACCAGTATCAGAACCCAAAAAAGAGACATTATTATAGGTCCTATACACGTTAAGAAAAGAATAAGAGAAATATTATGAACTTTCTGCCAAAAAGTGAACAATTTAGGTGAAAGTGGTAAATTTCTCAGAAATACAACTTATCACAATAGGAACAGAAATGCTAAACAGACTGATGTTTAGTAAATGAACTGAATTAATCATTCAGACTCTTCCATACACAAAATCTCCAATTAAAATAAATTTATATTAAAAAAATAAAATATACAGCAAAAAAAAAAAAATCTGAACCCTGAGCCCACAGAGCATCACCACAGAACCCTTCCAACATCTAAAGCAGCAGCAGTAACTGTCTTACACAGATTCCTCCAGGCACTAGAAAAAGGCACTTCTCAACCATTTCCTAAGGAAGCGTGACCCTGAAACCAGAGCCCCACGAGGACAAAATAAACAGAAATGACAAGCCAATGTCTCCACGGACACACGTGCAAAACCCTGTATAAGGGGCTGACAACACACACCAGGCCTTCTCGGGGGCAGCAGTGCTCAGCGGTGGCCAGCGCAGTGTGCGGAGCACAGACCAAGGCTCCGGGGAGGACAAGTCAGGGTCCCCCAGTTGTCAGGGTCTGGCACGCCTCTGGTCAAAGCATGGGCTCAGCTCATGCACACAGCTCAAGCTGTTCACATGAGCTTCTGTTTAAAGACACCTCATTTCATACATGTCGTGGGCTCACTAATACCGAGTTCACAGCAAAAGCTCATGCCTGGACAAAGCTCACCTCACACGCGTTTTCGCTGACAGGCACGCCTCAGCCCTCATGTGCTCAAGATCCCAGAGCACCCCCAGCACCACACCTGGGGCCACTTTAAACCGCAAAACACGAAAACTATAGGCTTCAGTGGATGCGAGTGAGGCTTATGTTGACAGCTGAGAGCTGAACAGAGAAGGAAGCTTCCCTGGGTCAACCTTCCCAGGAACATGTACTCCGGACAACTCAATGTTTCTATCTTCTGTACACATGCATACCCAAAAATGACTCTGAACAGGTGTTCATTCTGGGCTCACACGTTAACTTTAACCACAGGGTAAATGCACAAATACAGAACCGCAAATAAAAAGGATCGACTGTACACATCTGTATCATTATCGTAAAAGACAGTATTTCGTGACTTGGTATGGTTTACTACAGAATCCAAGGCTGGTTTAATGTCTGAAAATCTACCAATTCACTACATCGAAAGAACAAAAGAAAAAATGACCAGAGATGTAGAGGCAGAAAAATTTATCTGACAAAATTCACAGCAAAAATTGTCTGCTACTAAAATCAGAAAGAAACCTTCTCATCTAATATATGTAATTCTATGGTTACACCAAGTGGGGAATGAACACCTCCCCGAGTCTGGGAACAAGACACAGATGTCCTCAGTCACCACTTCTTTTTACTTCTGGAGTCAGTGAAATGAGGCAAGAAAAAAAAATAAAACATACAAAGATCACAAAGAAAAAAATAAGGTTATCATACACAAATGATATGATTGGTTACATTTAAAAATGCAAAAGAATCTACAAGGCATTAAAATTAGTAAGCGAATTTAGTCAAGACACTGTGTACAAGTTTGAACTAAAAGAATCCAAACTGCATTTCTGCTAGCAAGAATCACAAGACCCTTAAAACTCTGAAACTAATGAAATTAAAGACCTAAACAGAGAGGTCAGCCACACTCACAAACTAGAAGTGTCAGTATTGTTAACGTGTTGCTCCTCCCCAAATTAACTTTAAGAGCCAATGCAACCCTAATCAATCCCTGCAGGCACTTCTGGGCCAAAGAACAAGCTAATCTGAAAACTTCTGTGCATGCACAAACAAAAGTTACAAAGTTGGAGGTTTCAGAGCATCTCAGACTTACTTAAGAGCTGCAACAATTAAGATACAGAGTGGTCAGGATCCTGGGTCAGACAAAAGAAAACAAGAGAAACCCTCAAAGCAGAGGGACCTTGCCAACATTGATCTCTGATAGAGGAACCCCTGTAATTCAATGGGGGAACGACGGACATGTCCATGTGCAGGACTTGGTGGGGGGGGGGGGGGGGGCAGTCAACCCTGACCCATACCTCCAACCCACACATTAAAATTAAATTAGATCATAGACTCCAACATAGAAGAGGGTCTGCAGACACCTTAGCACACAAGCGAATTGTGGCTAAAATAAAGACAAGCTAGACTTCACTAAAATCAGACCCCACTGATGGGAGAACACGCCTGCAGTGCACACAGCCAGCCACAGACACACCCAGGACACTGCAAGGCAGGAGAGGAAGGCACACCATTCAAAGGGGAAAGGCCTGGGCAGGCATCTGCAGGAGACACTGACTGGGAGGAAAAAGCACTTAAAGCCACAGCAAGGCACTTAAAGCCACTCCACACCCACCAACAAGACGACCACCCAGGCTGAGGAGGATGCAGAACAACTGGAACTCCCGCACAGCTGGCAGGGCCCGTGGTGCCCACGGATGATGCCCCAGGAAAGAGCGTGAGTGTCCACCAAGACGGCCACACCACAAACCACCAAAACAGCAACCAGCTAGAGGAGGAGTCAACACAGGCGTGCACACAGGGGACCTGATGCCGCAGCACCTACGGCGCACACGCTGTATGGGGGGTCCCTGCAGGGAGAGGCCAGCTCCCAGCCCAGAGACCAAGGGCAGACCTGTGGGAGAGCACAGGCTCAGCTCGCGGCTTCCTCTGGGGAGATCCCATGTGCCAGCACATCCTGGGACCTGGCTCAGCCGCGGCCTCCTGTTTCCCATCCTTTACCCGAACTGCCTATGAGGAGCAAGCACATCCCACCAGCCCACATCCAAATTCGGGCCCTGGGAGGCATTCCCCTCTCTACCAAGGGTTCCTGGCTCCCTCGTCTATCCCATCCCCCAATCCCAGCTGCCGAATCGTCTTCAGAAAAGCCTCTGAGCTCAGAGTGCTGGCCCAGGGCATGCAGGAGCCTTGGGGCAAAGAAAAACAGATCCTAGTTGACAGGCACCTGCCTTCATGTCCTGACCTCAACACCTGCACACAGAAGGGATGCCTTCTTCCTCAAATAACGGAGGCCCAGCTCTACATTCCAGTGAGATCGACAGACAGACAGACATCAAGTCAGATGGCGAGTGCCCTCAGGAACAGGGCAGAGCAGAAAAACACTGCTCAGGAAAAGCCCCGGATGAGATCAGGGACTGACCTGTGGGCAACGTGCAGAGAGCCCGCACACCCAGGAGAACAAGCACAGCAGCCCTGGGCCAGGGCTCAGGGTAACTTCAGGGCCCACGGCCAGCCAGCAGGGAGGGACAGCTACCTCCCAGAGCATCCTGCAGGTCGGCTGCCCTAGGTAGCACCTGAGCTGGGCTGGGACTCTCAGGCTCACTCAGAGGACCTGGGAACCGGCTCTGGCTGGACACCAAAGTCTTTCCTGGAGGACTGGGTGGCATTTCTCCTGCTCCCTGCCCCCCAGCTCCCAGGCCCACTTACTCTTCTCACCATGCCGGTTCGAGTGCAAGTTGCTGAGGTCAGCTTGGAACTGAGGCCCAACCATGATTTCCTGCAAAGGCAAAGGCCCAGGAGGGTCAGGGCGGACAACGGTACTGATGGGGGCTGCGGGCCGCTGCCCAGAGCCAGGACTGGCTGAGTCTTCCTGTCTGCTCTGAGGCCAAGCCTAGGAGTGTGCAGATATGCGAGCAATGGTGTGTCTGGCATAGCCAGTCCTGTGGTGGGGTGGAGGGAGTCAGGGAGCCCCCAGAGAGGACCAGGGCACAGCACTCATGCCTGAGTCCAGTCCAGCGTCAGAGCTGCTCACCTTCTTACACTTGTTGGCAGGAAGCGGATCCTCCTCAGCATCTGATGAGCTGGAGGAGCCAGGCTCCTTGTCCGCATCAGCCAGGAAGCAGGCTTCGGAAAAAGAGGAACAGTGAGACACGTGCCCTCTGCCAACAGACCCTGGCAGCCCCCAGACCCCCACCCCACTCTCCAGCCACCTGACCCCCAAGTGTGCCCCTCCTGAGAGGTAGTGGGCCCAGATCCCAGCCAGGGGACGAGGCAAGATGGCACAGAAGCAGGGTCCGCAAGGGGCTCTGCTGCAGTCGTAAACTCAAGGGGGGAGGAAACTCAACACCTCTTGTTGTAGTGCACCACCCGCCGGGTCACAGCCCAAGATCCCCCGGACTTAACAGACATTCAGCCACAAGAACCAACATGCTCCCCCCTCGCATAAACCCAGGTCACCAGCCTCTGCACAGGGATGGTGCCCAGAGGGGCTCCAGCAAGAGCAGGCATCCCAGGGGCCCCGAGGTCTGAGCCCCCAGCAGCTCGGGGGCAGAAGCAGGGGTCACCTACATCCACTCTGACTAGGGAAAAGGTCAGAGGCCTCGTGGGAGGTCACAGATGGGGTGAGGTCATCAGCTGAGGACTGTGTTTCTTCTTCTTCTTCCCCTGAAAGCAAATCCTTCGCTATTTGGTCCTTTTAACAAGAAAGTAAAGAACAATTTTGTACTTTATTTTTACGATCTCAAATAACACTAATGATGATAGTGTGGTGGTGCCAATGTGGATGAGCCTCCCTGTAGGAGCACCCGGGACCCCCGAGGGATTGCTCTCCCCAATCCCCAGGGACTGCCAGCCAGGGAGGGGATGTGCCTCTGCCTGAGACCTAGGACAGTCAGAACCCCTCCCCTCTGACCCCGCCAAGACCTGCTCGGGACCCGGTGTCTCTTCCCTCCCAGGGCCCTCCCCTTGGCCACACAGATCCTGGGTGGGCAGCCCACACTTCCTGACCACACCCCTACCTGTCCAGGGCCCTCTTGCCCAGCCCCGAAGCCTCCCCTCACCTTGTCTAGGGTCATGTCGGGCAGGTGGGCTGCAGCATCACTGCCCTCACTCTCCTGCTCCGAGATGGGGTCCGAGGTCTCGTAGCCATACAAGGCCAGCAGCTCGTCAAGGGGCATGTCACTGCTCTGTGGGGGCAGGGCTGTGTCAGGGGCACTGCGCTGGGGGCTCTGGCCCCCTGCCCTTGAGCCCAGCAGCCCCACGACCAGTCCCAGTGGTTCACACGAGCCAGACCCCAAGTCCAGCCCTCGTCTACTGACTTCTTTCAGCCCCCCAGAGGGCATCCCAGTCTTGGACCAAGGGAGCAGCTCCTTGAAGAGAAACCACTGCTGCTTGTCACCAGAGTAAACCTTGGCATAAATGCTTTCGAGCAGAATATCCCAATTTTGGAAAACTTGGATCTGACGGCATGAGACTAACAAACCCTGATGCCCACTGTAAGGCTGGAAAGGGAACATAAAAGGCAGGTGTATCCGCTTTTGCTTTGGATGTTATTACACATTCTTTCTTTTCCTTAGTCAGCAAATAAAAATTGTATCTGAAGAAAAAGATGTTTTTGGCTGCACCATGTGCCTCGCAAATCTCACTTCCCCAATCAGGGACTGAACCGTGTCCCAGTGAGACCACGGAGTCCTGACTGCCCAGCCCTCCAGGGAGAACACAGAGTCCTGACCACCCGACCGCCGGGAGCTCCCCTGAAGGAAATTAGATAAGGTAGTCAGCTAAAGAATAGCTGACCTTTTTTTTTCGGTTACTTTTGAGAAGTTTTGAATTCAAGTTGAACTCTTTAAAACTGTTTTCTCCTTTTTGAACAGAAGACATGCTTTGGTTTTAAGACCAAACCAGTACTAAGTGACACATGGCACCAAGCTAAATAAATGTCCAGTGACGACTCTTTGGTCCCAGTACTTGAAAGACATCTGGTAAGGTCAGTGTTGACATTGAACAAACTGACGTCTGTGTGCCCCACCTCCAAGCTGACATGATGAAGCCCCATTGTGACTGGAGAAGTCCACGCATCTCAACTAGAGAGTAGCCCCCGCTTGCTGCAACCAGAGAAAGCCCATGCACAGCAACAAAGACCCAACACAGCCAAAAATAAATAAATTAATTAATTAAGGCTACAGGACAGGGCCCTGACCCAGGAGGCCAGTGTTCTCACAAGAAGAGACCAGAGAGCTTGCTCTCACCCTGACTGTGAGGGTCACAGTCTCAGAGGCTGCACAAGAAGCTGCATCTGCAGCTGAGCAGCACCCTGCAGACATGCCAGGCCAGGCCAGCCTTGGTCTGGGGCTTCCAGGCCCCAAACAGTACAAAAATAAACCTGCTGTTTATAACATCCCATTCTATGGGACTGGCACACATGTGCTCTCTAGATTTTACACGGCGGACTCTGTGCACACGCACAGGACTTACACATCATGGCACCAGCAGCCAGCCAGCATCTCATCCACACAGAAGGTGACGAGATCACACATGGGTCAGGACCACTCTGGGGTCAGGGCTGCCAGGATCAGGGCCACCCTGGGGTCAGAACCACTCCAAGGTCAAGACCAGTGGACCCTAACACAAGGACAGAGTTCATCGGATGTGGCTACGGGGTCCAGCCCATGAGGCTGCCACCTTCTGCACTCTGCTGCAGCATCAGAGAGCATCCACAACTATGTCAACAGACTGGTAAATACTCCTGCCTTTTCCATGAACAGATCTGTAAGAGGCAAGACTCACTCTCTAACCTAAGAGACAGACCACAACAGACTGACATCTGCCTTAAGTCAGCATTTCACAGAGATTTACAGAAATGTAAAACTATTTCACTCTTTTCCCTTATATGTTTTTTGTTTGGAAAACAGTTATATTTTCACAAAAATGTGTTATTTCTACTTACAATGGGTTTGCTGCATCACCTACATAAACAAAGCTCCTTGAGATCACCAATAACTGTTAAGAACACAAAAGGGGGGTCTGGAGTCAAAAAGCTGGAGAACACTGGCTCACTCTCCAGGCCAGCTGGTCTGGAGCCCAGCGCACCATGAAGGCAGGAATGGCTGGTGCGGCCGCGCCTCTGCTGACAGAGCCAGGTGGGCTCAGAGACCAAGTGGACACGTGGAGCAGCTGCGAGGCTGCTGATGCCCTGCCCGCACTGCTGGGTACCTGGGAGACGAAGTCCTTCTCCAGCTCCTCCTCTGGCTTCTCTGGGCCCCGCGCTGCACCCTCGTGCTCCTCCCGGACGCCGTAGTTCTGTGACAGGATCTCCGCCAGGTGGAACTGATGGTCTGCAGAGCCCATGGACACCACTGTGGGGGACAGCAGCCTGGTGAGCTCTGCACCCATCCCAAACCTTGCGCTACGGCTGAGACCACGGAGCAGAGGAAGCCTGGGGGCCCGGGGCTATGTGGGTGTATGCACGTATGTGTATGTCCACACAGCCGCCCAACAAATGCCCCACCCTCCTCTGGTCCCAGCCCAGTAGCTGGCGGACATGACCAGATCTGGAGCCTTCCCCAAAGACCCAGGATGTGCTCACTGCTATATCTCCATGCTGCTCCTCAGTACATTGACTTGTAAACAAACAAGAAAGGACACAGCCAGGTCTCCTTCAACCCCAGTAAGAAATAGTGAAGGTCTGCATGTGGGTCCCAAGAGCAAAAGGAGGGAATGGAGCCTCCAGAAGCCGGACAGGAGGAGCCAGTGACCAGTTTGGGGAGGCACAGGGCCCCCAGACAGTGCCCACCCAGCACCCTCCCTCCTGCAGCCCCCGCCCCCAACTTGCGGGTGGACCTGGCCAAGAGGGAGGTCCTGACCACCAGCTGGCTTACCCTCACCCCCACTGAGGCCCTGGCAACCCAGGGAGGGGTGACAGGTAAGGTACCTGCTGTGGTCTGCAAGCTGGGCTCCCCGGGGCACAGACTGTGAGGCAGGCAGGAGGCCGCACCAGGGCTCTGCCTGTCCAGTGAGGAGGCCTGTGGAGGAGAGGAGCAGAGTTATGGCCCGCAGGCAGCCACATGGCCTGGCCATGATCAGAGCTGGCCCCCAGGTACATCAGGGCCACAGGAGCGACCTCCACTGGCTGGGGGTGGGGGCACAGTGGGCCAGACTTTCAGTCACAGTTGGGAGTCCAAGTGCCCAGGCAAAGATGCTCAGTGGCATAGAGCTGCCACCAGCGAGTTCGGATCCTCCTCCAAGTGGGAATAGCACCTGTGGGCACCATGAGGCGCCTGGATCAGCCAGCCACCAGCAGCTGATCATGGCCAGGACACAGTGTCAGGTGAGCCAGGCCCACACACAGCCCAGCCAATACCTGCAGCCAGGTGCCGACACCACAGCTACACAAAAGGACCCAGCCTCCGAAACGTCATGTTCAAAATGCAAGAGCCACCATGGAGAAATACGGAAATTCCTCCAAACATAAACAGTTACCAAATAACCCAGCAATTAACTCTACTCCTAGGTACACACCCAAAGAACCAAAAACCTATGTCCATACTAGGTGTACACATGTGCTCACAGAAGCATGACTCACAACAGCCCAAAGGTGTAAACACCCTAATGCCCATCAACAGGTGAAAGAATAAAGAAGACACGGTCCACCCTCAGGATGAAATATTAGTCGGCCGTGAAAAGGAGAGAAACCCTGACACTTGCTACCACGTGGACAGATCCTGAGAACAAGATGCTCAGGGAGAAAAGGACACACAGGGTGTGAGTCCACTGATGGCAAATGTCCAGAACAGGCTGATCCACAGACACAGAGTGGGTTCCTGGTGGTCAGGGGCTGGGGAGGGGGTAACTGTTGATGGGGGTGGGCTTCTATTGGGATGATGGAATGTTCCAGGTAAGGGTGAAGGTTTCAAAGCTTTGTGAACATACTAAAAACCACCAAATTCAACACTTTAGGTGGGGATATTATGAAGGACATAAATTATACCTCAAATTTTTAGAACTACATTAAAAAAAAAAAAGTACAACAGCTACCATTATCACGATGTTCAAAAGCTTACTAAGAACAAGAAAACTAGACCAATAACTTTTATAAACAGAACCACAGTATTCCCCAACAAAACACGAGCAAACTGAATTCAGCGACATGCAGAGAACACCACACAGCGACAAGGAGTGGCTCAGCACAGGGACGCAACACACAGGTGACACCCAGCATGACAGCCGACCACAGCACAGACCAGATGCACACCCACGGCGTCCTCTCAGCAGACACACAGACACAGCACCTGCCCGAGCCCAACACCTCTCATGATGGAAACACTGAATGCATGAGGCCTGCAAGGGAACTTCCACCCGACCCCAGCCACTGCCGCCTCCCCGAGACCAGGGAACTGTCTACACAATGCCGTCCTGGAGGTTCCAGTAGGCAGGCAAGTAAAATGAAGGGAATCAAGTTGGAAAAACACGTCATGACCTGGGTCACAGAAGATACTAAAGATATTGAAAAAACTAGAACCAGTAAGTGAGTTCAGCAAGGTTGCAGGACACAAGCCAAGCCACAGAAACTTTACTCCTATGCAGTACCAACAAACAATCTAAAAAGAAAACAAGGAACACAGTTCCATTTACAACAGCATCAGAAAGAACAAAATACTTAGGGATAAAAGAAGCAAAAGAAGTTCAAAACTAATACTCTGAAAAGTGCCAAGAATGTTGAAAGAAACTAAATATCTACATAAAATGGAAAAAGACTATATTCCTAGCTCAAGACTTACAAATGCCAAGATGTCGATGTTCCTCAACTCATCTGGAGGTTCAATGACAGGCCCATCAGAACTCCAACTGGCTTCCACACAGAAACTGTCCCAAAAATCACAAGAAAACTCAGGGATGCTGAACAGCCAGAACAATCTTGAGGGGAAAGAACGTTTTCCAACCTCAAAAGTACTGCAAAGCTACAGTAATCAGAACAGTGTGATGTTGACATAAGGCGAGATAGTCAGATCAAGCTAACAAAACTGAGGATTCAGAAGTAAACCTTTGAATTTACAGGCAAACAAATTTTTTAAAGTGTAGCAGAAAAATTCAACATGTAATAAACAGTCTTTTCAACAAATTGTGCTGGGATGCCTGGCTATCCACACACAGAATAATAAAGTTCAACTCCTCTCCCACACCACACAAAAATTCACTCAAAATGGATCAAAGACCTCGAATATAAGAGCTAACACCATCAAACTCTCAGAAGAAACCAAGGCAATGAGTCTTTCTCACCAGGCAATGGTTTCTTAGGTAAGACACACAAAAAACAACAAAAGAAAGAACAAATAAATTGTATCTCATCAAAATTAAAACTCTCTGTGCTTCAAAGGGCAGCATCATGAAAGTACAAAGGTAACCCAAAGACCAGTAAAAGATATGTGCAAATCACACAGGTCTAAAACTGGACTTGTATCTAGAATATGTAAAGAATTCTTACAGATCATCAAGAAAAAGGAAACCAGATTTTTAAACAGGCAAAGCCTCCAAAGAGCTACACACACAGCCAATCAGTACATGGAAACAAGGCTCGATGTCAGGAGGGCAAGTGAGCACACTGAGTGAGGAGGATATATGACACCGAGTGTGGGGACGTGGCCCCTTGGGAGGGGACCTGCAGTGGACGGCACAAGGAGCACACCTGGGGGTCGGGGGTACCCCCAACACACCGCCCTGGCACAGTGTCAAGCATGGAAGCCAGTGAGAAAGCAGACCAACCACCTGTGTGCAGAGGCGGAGTACACACAGCCTACTGACCAGCCCTTCACCCCTCTACCCATGAGGCACCGCCTCCAAGGGTCAAGGCCTTCCCTCTGCACTGACCACCCTGCTGTTCACACCCTCCAGGGGACTCCTCACAGGGTTCTCCCACATGACACATACCACCTGCCTAACAAGCTGCTTGTTTCTCTCTTGTGAACCTGCCCTTGTCAGCCTGAACCACGGGGCCCCAGACAGGACCCAGGCAGGCAGAGGGAAAAGTCAAGCCTCTCCTCCCTGACAACACCCAAGAGAAGCAGAAATCTTCATCCACACTGAGAGCTGCTTATGAGTGTTCTCAGCAGTCTGAATCACAATAGCCAAAGGAGGAACAAACCCAAAGAGACATTGGGTGGAACATCACTCAGCCCCGAAAAGGAGAGAACTCATTACTACATGAATGGACCCTGAGAACACGAAACTCAGTGAGAGAAGCAGACACAGAAAGACACACAGGGTGTGATTCCACTGATGGGAAACGTCCAGAACAGGCCAATCCACAGACACAGGGAGTGGGTTCCTGGTTGTCAGGGGCTGGGGGAGAGGAGAAAGATGACTAAGGAGGACACAGTTTCTTCTGGGCTGGTGAAAATGTTCTAAAATTGACTGGTGATGCCTATACAACTCCGAATATACAAAGAACCACTGAATCGGACACATTAAAATGAAAGAACTGTAAAGTAAATGAATTACATATACCTCAGTAAAGCTGTTTACCAAAAAAAAGATTAGAATAGTTAATAAACTAAACTTTAAAATTTTAGAAAAAAGTTTAGTAAGAATTTCCATACTGATTTCCTGAGTCAAGAGGTTGAGTAATCATTTTCTTCATTAGAGAAATATGGGACTTAAAACTCCGAAAGATCAAGTCACTCAGTAAAGCTCACACAGCATGTAAATGGTACAACTACAAGTGCAAACTCCAGCTCTGGAACTCAGAAACGCTTAAAAGAACTGTCACTCTTCTTGGGAGCATGAACAAAAATACACAAATGGTCAGTAAAGCCACAGAGAGCCGGGCGGCAGAGCAAGCCAGGGCCCTGGAAACACCAAGGTAAGAAGTCTGAAGCTTGCCAGGAGACTGGCCCAGTTCTTGGGGAGGAAGTGTAGGGGAGCCCCCAAGAGCTTGGCCGGGAGCACCCCAAGTTCTAAGAGGAAGTGTACAGGGGGAATACCCCAAGGGCTCTCTCAAGAACATACCAAGTTCCATGAGAAAGTATACAGGGCACCCCAAGTGTTCGGTGGGAGCACCCCAAGTTCTAAGAGGGAAGAGGTGCCCAGGGGCACCCCCAAGTGCTCTGCCTGGAGCACCCCAAGTTCTGAGAGGGAGTCCCCACACACAGGCCGCTGTAAGGTTAGCCCCCTCAACCTGGGGCAGGAGGTAACAACACTGGGAGCAAGGGAGCAGCCTGGACCCAGCCCCGGACTGGCACCCTCGGCCCCCCCAGGAAGGGGCCAGCAGCCTGCAGGCCATGGGCCACCTGCAGGGGCCAGCCCAGAGATGTTCCTTCTGGGCAAGGCCTGAGCATGAGGACAGCAGCAGGCAGTCGGAGAAGGGCTCAGCCCAGTGCCCCCTCCACCTTGGGGTCTGCCCTGGGACGCCAGCAGGGGAGCCCGGACAGCAGCAGGGGTAACAGTGGCCATAGAACAGTGGGAAGGCCAGGTCTGCTCAGCCTCCCCACAGGCCTCAGAGCCCCAAGCTCACCTCAGGCAGCTCTGAGAGCACCACGGTTGCCCCAACACCGACTTTCAAGCCAGGCCCATGCGCAGCAGTGGGTTCCCAGCGTCCTGTCCACCTTACCCTCCCCTCACCCCATTCAGAGCACTCTGGAGCCCAAGGCCCCCGTTTTGCAAAGGTGGGAGAAGGAAACAGATGAGGAGCTGGTTAAGGGCATTCCAAGTTAAAATGTTTTATAAAGAAAAAAAGAGGGGGGAGAATCAAGGTTAGAAAGAAGGAAAGGCAGCACTGTGGGGACTTGGTCCCCAAGGCCACTGTGGGGAGGAAGAACAAGCCCAGGGCGGGGAGCTGCCTTGGCCTGGGGCCCAGATGGGAGGGAGGGGGCTCACTCAGGAGGAAGGAGGGGCCCTGCCCTGTCTTCAGTGGGGGCTCAGACAGAGCAGGGGCTCACACAGGACAGAGGCACAGCTGGACGGGTCAGAGCAGTGTCTGGGTCCAACTCACCCACAGAGACATCGGGGTCCATCCTCCACTTGGCGAACCAGGCACCCCACCCACAGGCTCTTCCTCCAAGCATGGGACACCCCATGCCTTCCTTCCAGAGGGGGGTCCTTCACCCCCTTCCTGTGCAATGGCTGGGCCTGGGACTCTGGTGGGAGGGATCCACGTGACCCCCAAGTCTAGGCTGTGAAAGGCAGTGTCATCTCCACCAACCACCACTCTGTGAGGAAGCACAAGCCACAAGGGCAGGCCACGCTAGCACTGCAGCCACACGTGGGCGGCTCAGCCCAGCCACCAACCAACCGCAACCACAGGTGGGACCAGCCAGACCTCCAAGCTGGAGGTAGTTAAGAGGCACTTAACAGGTAGGTAAGAAGCACTGGCTGCTTTGAGAAACTGACTGCAGAAGTGGCTCATCACACAGCAGCAGTTAACCAGAACCCCCACCCCCCCCAGCAGGTGTGTGGTCCTACTGGGCCTCCCAGCACCTCATTGCTGACTGACAGTCCATGCAGCACCTGCTCTGCACTGGGACGCAGAAGGCCCCAGGGGCACAGCAATCAGCAAACAGGTTCTGCCTGCCAGTCTCGGCAAGTCACCCACCTAGTTGGGGACACTGACCAACAGCAGATGTGCAGGGTACTGAGGGGAGAAAACAGGGTGGGGGCCCTGCACCAGGGATGAAGGAGGGCCTGTATGGCTGTCTCCACAGAGGCCAGTAGGGCATCGGACGCCACCACACAGCGAGGCCCCCATGGGTGCAGATGTCACAGGGACACAGGAGCCCAGGGGTGGAGAAGGTGCAGGGGATCCTCGGAGAACAAGGCCATTGGGCTGAGGATCACAAGGCAAAGATGCACTTTACCCTAAGGACAGCAAAAAGCCGTGTCTTAAGCACAAGATACAGACAGTGGACTCAGCTTTTTAAAGATTAAGTTGGGATCTGCGAGGAAAACAGTAAGAAGCACCCCACCTTTTCTCAGGGTGCTGATGGCTATCTTGATGATGAGAAAAATCAGCACTCACTGCTTGGTCAGGAATCACCATTTGTACTGGTTCAAAACAGGAACTGCACAAGGCTCAGCCTCTGTGCAAGCACGGAGCCAAGATCTTGTGGGACCTCAGCTCAGAGACTGGCCCAAGGCGGCAGAGTGAAAGGCTCCAGAGATAGGGGCAGCCTCCCAGGCCCCAGGCAAAAGCCAGCCATGCCCTCCACCACTGGCATTTGCAACCTGTTGTCCCTCACTGCCAGGCCCTCAGGGCCACCCACTGAGTTGGTTTTCTTTTTAAGAAACCAGCTCCAATGCACCCCAAACTGGACACCTGGGAGCCCTGACAGGGCAGAGTCAACAGCCAAACCACGGACCACTGGGGCAGGTTGGCTGGGGAGCCTGTCCCACCCACCTGTTCTGCTGGCCCCTGAGGCAGACACACCCACGGACAGCCAACCTCCTGCTGGGCTGTCAGGAGACCTGGCTTCTACCTCCATCCCACAAGTACAGCCACTGCCCAGGAGGCTTGCTTCCCCAAATGTCCTCTAAGCAAAGAGAACTACTCTGGAAGGGCCCTTTGGGTTCAGCCACCCGCATATAAGACAGGAATGGGCTAGGGAGGTCTGGCCTTGCACTGGCATGCCCACACCCTCTTTGGCACAAACGCAGGGCCTGTTGTTGACCCTGTGAAAGCCACTGGTGGGACAGAATGGCCAGTTCCACCCTCCAGAACACCCACCCACGCAGCGCCAAGACACACAGCCCAACGTGGCTCCCTGACCAGGCCGAGCATCCCAGGACCTGGGCGGGTGTCTGCTCCTCTCTGGGCCTGGGCAGCCTCACCCACTGCGTGAGAATCACTTGCTGAGACCAGGGACCTGCCTGGACTCCCCACACTGACCGTCTGCGCTAAGAGTCACGTCTGCTGAGTCCCTAGCAGATGCGTTATTCATTTCATCCTCTCTACAGCCCCAAAAGGTGAAAGAAGGTTCGCACTGCTTTATCCAACATTCCAAAAAGCCCTCAAAGTGAAAGTTTTTCATCCCTGGTTCGACCCGCCACGAAACTACCGGGTGTCTGGGTGTCGACGATCCCAGCTGAGTCTGCTCAAGCATCACAGCCCAGAACCCCACAGATCCTCAAATCCGAAACAGTCTGAACTCCAACATCGGTCCGGCCCCAAGGATTCGGGGTCTTGGGCCCGCTTTGCGAACGGAAAGAGGAGGCTCCGCGAAGCAACTTCAAGCCGCGGAAAAAAGCAGCCCTCCGCGCCGGGCTGGCCCCAGGTGGGAGCTCGAGTCCCGCCCAGGGTCCCGGGATCCGGCGGGAGCGCGACTCCGCGGGACCAGGGCCTGGCGGTGGGGAGTGGGTAGGGTCAGAGGGAGCAAGATTCCGCGAGGTCAGCGCCGGGGGGTGGGGGCTGGGTAGGGTGAGGGGGCTGGGGGCCGGTGGGGGCACGACTCTGCAGGGCGAGAGCCGCGGGATCAGGGGTGGGTAGAGTCAGGGGGCTGAGGGCCGGATGGGGCACGACTCTGCAGGGAGAGCGCCGCGGGGAGGGGCGTCAGCGGGCGGGGGTCCGGTGAGCCAGGGTCCGGTGGGAAAGCGCGCTCCGCGAAGTTAGCAGACGCTGGGCGGGCGCCGGGGGCGGGGGGCGGGAAAGTGCGGACGCGCGCCCCCTCCCCGCCCCCGCCGCCCCCGCCGCCCCCGCTCCACCCCGCGCCCGCGACCCCCGCGCCGCACATGCGCACTGCCGCCCGCGATGTGGCACCCGGGAGGGGGGGGCCGGGGCCGGGGGCGACGGCCGTTGGAGCCCCGCGCCCCTCAGGCTCCAATGGGAGCCGTACTGCGGCCCGGCTCCGAGCCCCGGCCTGGGGCCTCGGCGCCCGGGGCCCCCACGCGGCCCAGCCAGGCGGCAGGGACGCGGGCCGGGGCGGGGGCCGGCTACCCCGGCCCGCTCACTCACCTCCGCCATGGCCGTGTGTGCGCGGGAGGCGGCGGCCGCGCCGGGATCCCCGGATGCGGGGCCGCGCGCTCATTGGCTGAAGCGCCGGGGCGGGCGGGGGGCGCCTGGGCGGGGCCGGGGGCGGGGCCGGGGCGGGGCGCGAGCCGGGCGCGTAGTAGGTGCGCGATCTGAGATGCGCGGGTTTCGCGGACCTTGGCCTAGGCTTGGAAGGTGGGGACACCCAGGATGGAAGTGCCGATTCCTGATTAGCAGAGCTTAAGCGCGGGTCCCCAGTCCTCTTTCCAAGCCATGATGTCCCCCCAAATGTTACAGCTGAGGACCCTGAGCCCCAGAGAGACTCCTGCCCTTAAAAGGACTGAAGTCTGGGCAGCATGGGTCTAGAACTTACCACACGTTTGCACCAGTGACGACGGATCTCACTGGGGGCTTGGAAACTGAGTGCCCAGTGTCAGCAGGGCAGGTGGAGCCCAGCCGGTCCACTGGCTCTGGACCTGTTGCTGTCTTGAGTTGTGTCTAATCGATGAAATGTGATGGGCCTGAGCTGGCGGCGAAGTGCATGAACAAGAGGGTCCAGACAAGAATTCCCCATACTTGCATCTCAGAGATGTGCTGAGAGCATCAGGGTGGAAGGTGTAGACAGAGGGGGCAGAGCAGAGACTAGGATGGTGGCTAGAGCAGAGGTGGAGGGCTGGGGAATATGGGCAGAGCAGAGAGGCGGCATACAGGTTTCAGGCTCACACAAACCAGGAAGAATGGATGCAGGGGAGACCTAGGACTCAGCCCTGGTCCTTTTCAAGCTGCCTTTGATATCAGTGTCAACCGGGTGCTGGATGCTTGATGTAAAAGCGCTAGCCCAGCCCTGGGGGAGCCTACCATCCAGGAGAGAACTGGTCTTAGAAGGCCTGCCCTGCTCTCCTCTGCATGAGTCACAAGTTGCATGAGTCATGAATTCCCCACTCACATTGGTGTACATCATACAGATTGAGGGTTCAGGCCCTTGGAGGGAGGGTCCTCACTGGTAAGGGATCAGCTTGGTCAATCAGTCACTCAGTGTCCCCTGAAGCCCTCAACTGGGTACTGAGGTCCAGTGAAGTAGGAAGGTGAACCAAGACACAGTGACAGTGGGGCTCTGTATAATCACACGTGGCAGCAACAGAGGGAAAGGGCTTGAGTAAGCCTAGGGGGCCAGAGGAGACTCCTTGGAGGGAGCTTTAACAAGAATCATAAAAAATGAGGGACAGGGAAGCCTGGTGTGCTGCAGTTCTTGGGGTCATAGAGTCTGACATGACTTGGCAACTGAACAGCAGCAGATGAATAGATGGAGAGAGGGATGTGTTCCAGGTCTGAAAGGTTCTTCCCCTGTAGTGTAAGCTGCAGTCATCAAAGCAGCATGGTATCAGCACAAAACAGGCATGAATCAATGGAACAGAATAGAGAGCCCAGAATGACACCCCCACCTATGGTCAGTTAATCTTAGAGGAAGTAAGAATATACAATGGAAGAAAGTCTCTTAAGCAAGTGGCATTGGGAAAACTGAACAGGCATGTGTAAATCAATGAAGTTAGCACGCTCCCATACACATGCACCAAAATGAACTCAGGTTGGCTTAAATAGAAGACATGACACCAAAATACTCCTAAAAGAGAATATAGGCAAAGCATTCTCTGACATAAATCTCACCAATGTTTTCTTAGATCAGTCTCCCAAAGCAACAGAAATAAAAGCAAAAAAAAAAAGTGAAGGGGAACCAGAGTCTCTTGATGAAGGTGAAAGAAGAGAGTGAAAAGGCTGGCTTAAAGCTCAGCATTCAAAAACTAAGATCATGGCATTCAGTTCCATCACTTCATGGAAAATAGATAAGAAAAAAATGGAAACAGTGGCAGATTTTATTTTCTTGGGCTTCAAAATCATTGTGGATGGTGATTGCAGCCATGAAGTTAAAAGACACTTGCTCCTTGAAAGAAAAGCTATGACAAATCTAGACAGTGTTTTAAAAAGCAGAAACATCATTTTGCTGGCAAAGGTTTGTATAGTCAAAGCTATAGTTTTTCCAGCAGTCATGTATGGATGTGAGAGTTGGACCATAAAGAAGGCTGAGTGCCAAAGAATTGACGCTTTCGAATTGTGGTACTGGAGAAGACTCTTGAGAGTCCCTTGGACTGCAGAGATCAAAGAAGTCAGTAGTAAAGGAAACCAGCCTTAAATATTCACTGGAAGGACTGAAGCTGAAGCTCCAATACTTTGGCCTCCTGATTTGAAGAGCCAACTCATTGGAAAAGACCTTGATGCTGGAAAAGATTGAAGGCAGGAGGAGAAGGGGTGACAGAGGATGAGATGGTCGAATGGCATCATGGACTCGACATGAGTTTGAGCAAACTCTGAGATAGTGAAGGACAGGGAAGCCTGGCGTGCTGCAGTCCATGGGGTCACAAAGAGTCAGACACCACCTAGGGATTGAACAACAACCAACAAATGGAAACTAACCAAACTCACAAGCTTTTCTAGAGCAAAGAAAACCATCAACCTACAGACTGGGAGAAAAATATTTGAAAATGATTAAACAAATTAAGCAAGAGCTTGATTTCCAAAATATATGAACAGCTCATACAACACAACAACAACCAATAACAAAAAAACAACTCAATCAAAAAATGTGCATTAGACCTAACTAGACATTTTTCTCCAAAGAAGACAGATGGTCAATAAGCATGTGAAAAGATGCTCAGCATCACTAATTAATGGAGTAATGCAAATCAAAACTACAATGAGGTACCACCTCACACCAATCATTAAAGCCATCATTAAAACATTTACAAATTACAAATGCTGGAGAGGGTGTGGAGAAAATGGAACCCTCCTACACTGTTGGTGAGACTGTAAATTGGTGCAGCCACTATAGAAAACAATATGGGGTTTCCTCAGAAAATGTAAAATAGAGTTTCTATATGATCCAGCAATCCCAATCCTGTGCATATGTCCAAACAAAACTATAATTCAAAAAGACACATGCACCCCAATGTTCATAGCAGCACTATACACAATAGCCAAGACACGGAAAAGACCTAAATGTCCATTAACAGATGAATGGCTATAGAAGACTTGATACATATATACCGTGGAATATTATTCGGCCATAAAAAAGAAATGATGCCATTTGCAGCAACCAGGATGGACCTAAAGATTTTCATACTAAATATGAAAGTCAGACAGAGAAAGAAGTAAGCCAGACAAAGACAAATACTATATGATATCACTTATATGTGGACTCTAAAATATGACACAAATGAGCATCTACAAAACAGAAACAGACTCACAAACTTAGAGAACAGACTTGTGATGGCCAAGGGGGAGGGGGTAAGGGAGGGCTGTACTGGGAATCTGGGGTTAGCAGACGCAAACTATTCTGTATAGGATGGGTAAACAACAAGGTCCTTCTGTAGAGCACAGAGAACTATATTCAATATCCTGTGGTAAGCCATAATGGAAAAGTATGAAAAGAATGTATATATGTGCATAACTGAATCACTTTGCTGTATAGCAGAAATTAAACACAACATTGTAAATCAACAATACCTCAATAAAATAAAAATGTGAAAGTCCCTTCCCACAGATTATTATTAGTTAGAGTGGAGAAATGAGGCAATTATCCTGCCAGGTGAGAAACATTTACCCCACAAGTGAGGGAAGGAAGTGTGCCCTGAGAAAGACCATCACTTGTGCCCAGGAATACATAACCTGTGTCTATACTTGAGGGACTTCACACAAACCTCAAATAAGGAACATTCTATTAACAACAGTTAGAACCAGACATGGAACAACTGACTGGTTCAACACTGGGAAAGGGGTAGGACAAGGCTGTGTATTATCACCCTGCTTATTTCACTTACATGCAGAGTGCATCATGCGAAATGCCAGACTGGATGAATCACAAGTTGGAATCAGGATTGCCAGGGGAAATATCAACAACCTCAGATACGCAGATGATACCACTTCAATATGGGCTTCCCCTGTGGCTCAGGAAGTAAATGTGCCTGCACTGCAGGAGACACAGTTTCAATCCCTGGGTCCAGAAGATCCTCTGGAGGAGGAAATGGCAACCCACCCCAGTATTCTAGCCTGGGAAATCCCATGGACAGAGGAGCAAGGCAGGCTACAGTCCAAAGGGTCGCAAAGAACTGGACACAACTGAGTGACTAAGCACACACATACACACCATTCCAATGGCAGAAAGTGAAGAGGAACTAAAGTACCTTTTGATGAAAGTGAAAGAGGAGAGTAGAAAAGCTGGCTTAAAGCTCAACATTCAAAAAAACTAAGATTGTGGCATCCAGGCCCATCACTTCACAGCAAATAGAAGGGGAAAAAGTGGAAGCAGTGGCAGATTTTATTTTCTTGGGCTCCAGAGTCACTGCAGACAGTGACTGCAGCCATGAAATTAAGACACTTGCTCCTGGAAAGAAAACCTATGACAAACCTAGATAGCATATTAAAAAGCAGACATCACTTTGCCAACAAAGGTCAGTATAGTCAAAGCTATGGTTTTGCTAGTAATCACATACAGATGGGGAGTTGGACCATAAAGAAGGCTAAATGCCGAAAAACTGATGCTTCTGAATTGTGGTGCTGGAGAAGACTCTTGAGAGTCCCTTGGACTGCAAGGAGATCAAACCAGTCAATCCTTAAGGAAATCAATCCAATACTTTGGCCACCTGATGTGAAGAGCTCACTCATTGGAAAAGACCCTGATGCTGGGAAAGGTTGAAAGCAAAAGGAGAAGAAGGCAACAGAGAATGAGATGGTTAAAGGGCATCACTGATTCAATGGACATAAATTTGAGCAAACTCGGGAGATAGTGAAGGACAGAGGAGCCTGATGTGCTGCAGTCCACAGGTCACAAAGAGTCGGACACAAGTTAGCAACTGAACAACAACATAAACAAGGGAGGAAAGGACAGTATTCTTCAAAAATATCAATACCATAAAAGATTGATCTGTGGAAATGTTCCAGAT